TCTGAACATATAATTGGCCACTCAGTGTGTGCGCGCGCGCGTGTGTGTGTGTGTGTGTGTGTGTATCACAGTTCAGTCCCATGAATTTATTAGACAGAATATTAGTGACTAACCTGAGGGACCTATATTTAGAATGTATAGTATGTGTTTCAAATCCAGGCTGTAGAAAGTACATGGTGTTTTAATGGAAATGGTAAAGTACATGTGATCAAGTAATATTTGAGGCTTATGAATTCTTGTGAAATTACAACAAAATTATTCACAACTGAAATAGACACTTTTAACATGGACACTGTCTGTGGTACCTTGGTGGAACTTTAGAATAAGATGTATTTCTACCATCCTATATAATAAAGAGGTAATATGCAAATTGACCCTCACGCCCTCACAAGATGTCTGCCTACAACTAGGCCAGCAGGGAAGTTAGTGAAGGACAACCAAACAACTGAACAAGCAGGCTACATGGGGCAACCAGGCAGTTAGGGATGATCAGGCCAGCACACAGAGGCATTGAGGAGTCACCAGACTGGTAGGGAAGGTAGGTGGGGGCCACCAGGCCAGCAAGAGGGGCAGGTCGAGATGACAGATCAGTGAGGGGGAGCAGTAAGGGGGATTAGGCAAGCAGGGGGCTACATTTGGGGGGACCATCCTGGTAGAAGGGGCAGTTGGAGGCAATTAGGGGGGCAGTGAGTGGCAACTAGGCCAGCAGGGGGGCAGTTGGAGGTGACCAGGCTGGCAAGGGGGGCAGTTATAGAGGAGATCAGGCCAGCACGCAGAGGCAGTGAAGGGCAATCAGGCTGGCAGGGGAGGCATTTAGGGGTGACCAGGCAGGTAGGCAGGTGAATTATTAAGAGCCAGGATTGTGAGAGGGATGACCTGGAGATTAGGCCTAAACCTGCATTCAGACATCCCCAGAGGAGTCCTGGATTGGAGATGGTGCAGGCTTGGCTGAGGGGACCACCCCCCCCTATGCACGAATTTTGTGCACTGGGCCTTTAGTACTTAATGTGCAAGTGAACTAGGTCCTTATGATGTTACAGTCATTAGACCTTCCCTACCTTTCAGTAAAGTTCAGCACTTTCCCACTTCATTACAGTTTGCTTGCAATAGATAGTAACTAATGAAGATTGGATAGAATTTGCTCACAAATATAGCTCACAAAACACTGAATTTGCCCAAGTGTATGTTTAGTATGTTTAAGGAACAAATGTACAGGCAACAGATGATATTGTTCCTTGACATCATTGAGAACCCAGAATTAAAATAATTCTAAATTCCCTTACTCTGACAAGGGAAGAGACTGGACAAAAATCATATACCTATGGATGAGGACAGCGGGGGATAAAGGCAAGGGTAGAATGGGGACCAGGTAGAAGGGAGCTATGGGAGGAGGTGGGTGGAAAAGGAGAAACAATTGTAATAATCTGAACAATAAAAATTTATTTAAAAAAAATAAAAATATATTTTTTTTAAGTTCTGGAAATGGATAGTGGTAATGGTTGCACAGCATTATAAATAAATTTAGTGCCACTGAATTTTACACTTAAAATTTAAAATTCAATCTGAATATTTCTTATGAAATTCTAGCAAAACAGATTTTTAAAAGCCTATATAATGAATTAATCTTCCTATTGTGTTTATGCAAATAATAAGGCTAAATTGAAATAGGACTTAATACACTAAATGAATTGGTTTTAATTTGACTGTTTAATGAAAAAAAGAATCATTGTTTAAAAAATAAGTTTCAATAAATCTATAACACACAATCTATATATATAAAAGCCTAAGTGACCATCACAACCAAAACAACCAGATGACCAGGCTGCATGGGATGACCAGGCCAGCAGGGGGGTTAGTGAGGGACGACCAAGCAACTAAACAGTGGGCTGTGTGGAGTGACCAGGTTGGCAGGGGGAGTAGTTAAGGGTGACCAGATGAACGAATAGCAGGCTGTGTGGGGTGACCTGGCTGGCTAGGGGAGCAGTTAGGTGTGACCAGGCTGGCAGGGGGTTAGCAGTGAGGCTTGACCAGGCCAGCAGGGGAGAAAACTAGGGGTGATCAGGCAGGCAGGCAGGTGAGCCAGGGGTCATGGATTGTGAGAGGTACAGGCTGAGCCGAGGGGGACCCTGCACAAATTTTGTGCACTGATTTATAGATATTAGACTCTAATTCAGTTAATTGTCAGTAAAATATTTTTTTGCTTATAATCTAGACTAAATACTACATTCTTCTAGTTTTCTGAAATATTTTGGATACAATGCTCTAACTTCTATGGAAATGAAAGAAAATTTATCAGTGGTGAATTGTAACTCATCTCACCATTTTTTTGACATTGTTTCTATAAAAGCTGACTCTGACTAATACGTGGTTTTTAGATAAGCAACATGTTTGTATGAGAATCCTAGGAGCTAACTTCAGAAGATGCAGACTCTGACCTTCAGTCATCCCAGTTCCAGGAAATTTGCTGACCTTCAACCACAGAACAGGATGATGTAGAACCAAGATGACCAAGACCAGGATGACATGTACCGGACCATCACTCAACCAGTTTCAAGATCCTTATCGGAATGGACTGTGCTGGCCTGCACATAGAGAACTTCCAACCCCCTCACCTTGACATCTTCGTCCTGTTAGCCTTCTCCCTCCTTATAAAATCCATGCCTGCACTGAGATGTTAAGATGGGCTTTGCAACAAGAGTCCCCCATCTTCTCAAGTGTCTGGCACTTGAATAAACCACTTTCCTTTTTCATCAATATCTGTCTCATGAGTTTGGCTTTTATGGTGACAGGCAGCTGAAGGTGACTTTCAGTTACATTATTACCATAAATATTCTTCCTGTTATTTACAACATGAGTCTAGATGTGTTTCATATGAGCCAACTGCACATTTATTACTTTGGCTTGTGTTGACTATTGGCAACAATCTTTTAAATCATAACATATGAACTAGTGTGATCCATGCAGGACTGACAAATCTTTAGAAAGTCAGACATGACTTGGTATATCACTTGTGATGGGAAAGGCATCTGAATGTACATATAAAAGGCATCTGAATTTATTACATTGGAATAGCTATAACGTAACTACTGACACGTGGGGCTTTTCTCACAGTCTAAAACAGCTTTACTGCATGTTAGCCCCTGTCACTTATTGCTTCCTATGTCTGAACCACTGAAAAGGGCATGCTCTGCATTGACTGGCGAATTTGGAGTTATGGTTTATTTGATCACAAACGTACCCTTAGAGCCATGGCACTTTGATGGATCATCATAGTTGTTTGAGAGTACATTTAAAAATAATTAGAACACAGTTTGGACATTGGGCTGCTTCCTTAAATTAGATATTCTAATTTTGTTGTTATTTTAGATCAAAACTTTGCTTGAGTTTTTATTTTACTCCGTAACTCTATAAAAGTTACACAGGTGCCGAAACCGGTTTGGCTCAATGGATAGAGCGTCGGCTTGGGGACTGAAGGGTCCCGGGTTCGATTCTGGTCAAGGGCATGTACCTTGGTTGTGGGCATATCCCCAGTAGGGCGTGTGCAGGAGGCAGCTGATCCATGACTCTCTCTCATCGATGTTTCTAGCTCTCTATCTCTCTCCCTTCCTCTCTGTATAAAATCAATAAAATATATATATAAAAAAAGAATCAGAATACAAAAAAAACCCCAAAAAACCCACTAAATTACATATTTTTTTAAAAAAAAAGTTACACAGGTAAGTAAAACGGGCTAGCTAGGTAATTGACAGCAAGCAAGCGTCTACCTATTTCTCCAGCCCCAAGAGAAGGCTCTGTCCGGGATCACATTTCTGTATGTGAAGAGCAGGGAACAGCAAGGAGATGAAAGCTAAGGGGGCATGCGGGAGCAAAAGGCTATGATGTAAAGAGGAAAATACTTGTGGCAGCATCAAGGTGGCCAGAGGGGAGAGGCTTGGACCTCAGCTCTGTCCCACACAAACGGTGCAGCAGCAGTCCAAAGAGAACATGAAACTAGATCTCCAGGGTCATGCCACCAAGGAGAGGCTGGCATGGAAAACTGGTAGATATGATCTGGGATAGAGACAAGGGGAGAACAATTGCACTTGGCAGAAAAATTAACAGTGAGTGGGATTGATTGATTGCAGTACTTAACCATTGTAACTGTTTTAAATCCCCCACCTTAACGCTTTTAAAATAAAAGCATTGATTAAGGTAGTACAATGAATGTTGTGATAAAAGGTAGGAAATTTAGAGTTTGGGGCTAATTGTTTCTTATTCAGAAATCTCATAACAGTTTTGAGTAGACACAGTGTACAGAGAGGAGAAGCATTTAAAAAAAAAGTTGAAAATGACAATGAGCTCAAGATGCTCAAATGGAGTTGAGCTCAAGATGCTCAAATGGAGTTGAGCTCAAGATGCTCAAATGCTCATTGATCTCAAGATGCTCAGTGAGCTCAAGATGCTCAGTGAGCTCAAGATGCTCAAAAGTTGAACCTTTTAATGGAGTTTAAATGGAGTGTCTTCAAATGGAGTTTCTCCTGGCAGTTGAGCCTTTTAAAATCTCACTATACTGGGTACAATCCTCAAGAAAATAAGTATTTTACTTTTAATGGCTGGCAGATGGCTATGAATTCCTCAAATGCACACATGTGATGGTTAGTTTTATACGTCAACTTGCCTGTGTAAAGGGATAACCAGGTAGCTGGTAAAACATTATTTCTAGATGTGTCCGTGAAGTGTCTCAGAAAAACATTAGCTTTAATTTAGTAAACTAAATATACAATAGAAGACCCGCTCCCAGAAATGTGGGTGGGCATCCTCCAATCCATTGAGAATCTGAATAGAATGAAAAGGAGGGGAGGAGCGGGTGGGGGGGGGGTGGGGGGGGAGGCAAGTACTTGGCTCTCTCTTCTTGAGCTGGGACTTTCATTTCTCTTGCTTTCAGACTTCAGAGTTTCTGGTTCTTGGGCCTTGTAAACACAGGACTTAAACCAGCCCCATTCAACCCCAATCCCTTCCAGGGTATTTTCCAAGTAGACCTGATGCCCTGACTGGGAATTCTGGTGAGCCTCCGGGGTGGGGAGGGAATGTCTTGATGCTGTGCCTCATCCCAGAGACACATGCACACAGGAGCTTGTCTGATAACGACAGTTGGCCAACCCAAGTCACGGACTTTGAGGCACAGCAGTGAGAAAGCAAGATCCCCAGGAAATGAGAGAAGGTGGCTCAGCCCAGCACTTGTCTCCCCAGATTTCCCCTATTGGGCCATCATTCTCTTCTGCTTGGCGGGACTCTTGGTAGTCACCACGTGCCTAATCTGCTGTTTCCTGGTAAGCAAGGAGTGATGCTTGTCTTCTTGCTATTGGGTTGAAAGAGTGTCATGTATCGCATAGCGACATGTTTGTCAAGGGTATGCCACATATGTGATGGTTATAATGGAGCTGAAAAATTCCTACCAACTAGTGACAGCATAGCCTTAATAAAGTTCTGGCAAAGCACATTACTCTAGTGTTTGAGGCAAGCACACCTTCTGTGTTTCCAATTGCATTGAAGTATAAGTTGTGTATAGGCCATAATACTTGACAATGATAATAAAGGACTATGTTACTGGTTAGGTATTTACTATGCCATACTTTTTATTATTTTAGAGTGAACTTTTCTACTTATAAAAATTTTGGCTGTAAAACAGTATGGTGTGTTACACCAGCAGCAGTCTCATACATGTCAAGTTTATCACATCTCTTGAGTTCATTATTTCATTTGTGCTTGATTTAACTGTGTGTTTTATAAAGTAAAATGTTATGCAGACAATCCCTTGAGGACATCTTTCTAGGTCATACCCTTGTTGTTATGTGGTATATGACTATATTAGAAATACAAGTCCTCTGATAGGCACATGTTTTGCAAATATTTTTCCCAATCTGTGTGAGGCTTGCCTGTTTTTTCTTAACAACAGTAGTCCTTGGGAAAATGTAACTGAAAATCGCAAGTCTATCATGGTGGTAGAGTGACCACCACATGTGAGAATGGCTAAAATAGTATATAGACTGACTATAACAAGTGTTGGTGAGTATGTGCAGCAGCTGGAACTCTCATGCCATGCTTATAAAAAGTAGCTCAGCAGTGTTGCTTCTGTAAGTTTCATACACTTATACAGCCATTCCACTCCAAGCAATTTATTCAAGGGAAATAAAACATACATCTATGCAAAGAGACTTGTACACAGATGCTCATTAGAGATGTGTATGTACTAGCCCCCAAATAGAAAACAACCAAGATGTCCAAGAACAGGAGAAGGGTAAGCAAGCAGCGATACATCCCACAATGTGATCTTCCTCAGCAACAAAAAGGAAATAATAATACATGCAATGACATGTATAAATCTCAAATAGTTATGCTGGGTGAAAGAAGTTAGGTTAAGAAGATACTGTATGATCCCATTTATAAACAACCTTTACAAAATGCTAACTAATGTAAAGGAATGTGTCAGCAAATGGCAGGTAAAGAGGAATTACAGAGGAGCCTGAGAACACTTTTGGGGTGATGGGCGTTCCTTATCTTGATTGTGGTGACAGTTCAATAAGTTATAATTTAAAATTATCAAATCATTCCCATTAAATGTATGCAATTTATTGAATCAGTTATACCTCAATTAAGCTAGGTTGGAGAGAAGGAGAAAGGGAAGGAGGAGGTTTATAAATGGATAGTAGAGGGAAAATGATAGAACAAATGATAGTGAAAGGGAGAGAGGAAAACAAAAAAATAAAGGAGGAGAAAAGGGAAAGGGGAAAAATACTGGAGAAAATTAAATTTAAAATGGATTGGAAGCCTGCTAGTTTGGCTCAGTGGTTGAGCTTCGACCTATGAACCAGGAGGTCATGGTTTGAATCCTGTCAGGGTCACATGCCTCAGTTGCAGGCTCAGTTCCCAGTAGGGGGCATGCATGAAGCAGTAGATTAATGATTCTCTTTCATCATCGATGTTTCTATCACTCTCTCTCTCTTCCTTCCTCTCCCTGAAATCAATTGTTTTAAATGTTTAAAGCAGAGTGACTTTGGCCAGCCTCTTCCCTAGTATTCTCTCATATTTAGACATCCAGACAGTTTATTCTGAGTCCCCATCATCACCTTCACAGGTCACCGTGTGCCTGCAGAAGAAGGAGGGAGATTTTGAGATTCAGCAATGATGACTGGTACCTGCTGCAACTAGACCTGAGGAAGCTGCAATGACTAGATCTGCCTGAGGCCCCTGTTCCCATGCAGGGCCCAAAGGACCTTCGCTGGACCAGAGATCAACCACACTGATCCGTCACATGCTCTGGGCTCTTCTTAACATTGCCTACCTTCCTTGAAGTGGGGTTGTGCAAATGTTAACTATCATTACCATCATCTTCATCAAACTAGGATTGTGGTACCCCTCTTCATGGTTCTCAACTTTGTATGTGACAGTTGTGCTTTAAGCATTGTTATTGGAGGGGGAAGGAAAAATCAGGAAACTCCTGCCATGAGAAGAAAAACCATGAGAGAGAGAAAAAGCACACTGGTGAACCTGCGTGTTTCTGAGCTGGGATGGATGATTTGGTTGCTATTTTACTTAAGATGAAGGAGAGGGGTGATGTTTCCTTGAGCCCCATTTCAGAGACACAGTCATAGCTCTTTATTGAGAGTAGGACCAGGGCAAGGTGCAGGCAAAAGCTAACATGTAGACAGAGAAGGAGAATTTAGTTACAAAAATGGTCAACAGTGAAGGTGTAACTAAGTCCAGAGTGCAATAAATACATCAATGAGTCCGCTTCAGACCTGGTGAAACCTCGCAGCCAATGACACTGGCTTGCTTGCACTAGCAAATGCCCACTGCACTTCCCTGGAGAATGGAGAGCTCCAGGATGCCTGCAATGAATGGAAACCCAAGTCTAGGGAAAGGGACTGTAAATCCCTGACCTCTTTGTGGGTTCCAGCATGGAGGAACTCTCAATGTGATTGGTCCCTTGTAACCAGGTAACTGCGGAATGTGTTCTGATTGGCTGGCAGCAGCCAGGAGCCCAGACTTCAGTTGAGAAGCAACTGTGGAAGGAGAAGGAGCTTTGGCTGTGCTCTCTTCCCACTGTGGTTGTAGTTCTCAGCGCTTGTCTGATCCCTGTCCGTTTTCAACAAGTCGTGTTGGTTGCTGTCCTCACAAAAGAGTCAACCAAAGAGGTGCAGCTTCGGGGGTGGGGGTGGGTGTGGGGGCCTGGGCCCTGAGCCCCACTTGGGGCCCGGCAGCCCAGAGGCGAAGCAAACAGTGAGTGAGCCCTACCTGCTTGTGCGGTGAAGCCTTGGGGCTGCCTGTAGGCCTAGCCTTCCTTGAGGGGAGGGACTGCTGAGGGCTGGGGGGGGTGGGGAGGGGAGTGAGGTGTGAGTGATCCAGCAGTAGCAGAGAGGAGTGGAGGTGAGCCATGGGCAACACGCTAACTTGCTGCCTGAGGGCCAGTCCCAGTCCCAGGGCCAGCCCCAAGCTGGGTCGGAGGACCAGGCAGGTTAAGTCAAAGTGTAAGTATGAGGTTCGTGAGGAAGCTGCTAGAGACACAGGGGCAGTGGAAACAGTGCCTGCTACCCTGAAGTCTGAGAAGTTGAGGTCTGAGAAGTTGAATTTCGGAGCCCTCAGGGGCTACAACCGGAGGAACATCAGCGCCCCAGTGTCACCACAAGGTAAGAAGCAGCAAATGCCATCTGCTCTTTGGCATACCTCTGGTCTCCGCTGCCCCCAGAGTCCCCTGGGAGGGACTCCCTGCTTTGGGCTCCTTCCAGCTGGAGCCAGCTTTCCTGGGGGTGGGCACCTGGTCTCCCCACCCCTGCTTCTTTCCCCCTTGCACCCAGATGTTTTTCCCTCTTTACTACCTGAGCAGCAAGGTAGGATTTTGACACTCCCGCTTGCCTGCTGACTTTCCTCAATGCTTTGTTCCACTGAGTTTACTTGCTGGAAAAGCCATGGGTGGCCAGGTTTTTCAGTTAGTTATGACAGCAGAAGTACAAGGAATGAGGGTTCTGTTATATCTGAGGTAGTGCAGCACAATAAAGCAAGGGCTGTCCTATCCACGTGTTCATGGGGTGTGTGTGTATTTTTCTTGTTTTAAGCTGGTCGCTTGTGGTTAGGATCGCTGTGTTTCTCAGTTTCCTCCAGAGCCGTAGGGTGACTCGCAGTAGAGTGGAGACAGTAAAGGAAAAGCTAGGACATGGCCCTCTCTTCCCTCATAAGGGACTGTTTCTGTGGTGCCCATCCCACACCATAGGGGGCAGTACGGGAAACGGTACAGCCCAAGACCCTATTCAGAGTTTTTATTCTTCCTCTGGCCTTTGTGAGAGCAAAATGGCATTGTGTGCTGTAGACATGTGCAATTTAGGCTAGCATATTCGTTTTATTTTATAAATTTTTTTTAAAATAGTTTAGTGATTGTTGAAAAGAGAGCGTGAGAGAGAGAAACATCGATGTGAGAGTAAATATTGATCTGCTGCATCCTACACACTTCCTCCTACCAGGGATCAAGCCCAAAACACAGGCCCGTGTCCTTAACTGGGAATGACACTGGCAACCTTTTGGTGCAGGGGACAATGCCCAACAAACTGCAACTCCAACCAGGGCTACTAAGCTAGCACTCATTTTAAAATGTACATTTAAATAGGCTACTTTCCAACTGAGTAGAGACCCATTTGTTTTTAGTAAGGTATTTTAGTTGATTACCAATGAGTAGTTCAAGTCATTTCCAGGGAATCTCATGAGCCTGGGACTAGTGCCTGGCCAGAAACTGGTTCTCAGAGCGTCAACTGTTAAATCCTGGTGGTTCAAGTGAGGTGGGTATAACTGTACAATCAGATGCCACTACTGGGTAGAGGTTCAGATATGCACCAGCTACACTTTTTCACGAGCTACGTTTCTCACTTGGTCTAATTTGCTTTGCTTTTTCTTCTACATGGAGAGTCTTTCATTTGTACTTAATATAGGAGATATGTTAGGTCAAAAGTAAAAACAAAACAAAACAAAAACACTAAGTTTTTTTATTTTACTAGGGTCTCATCTTTCCAGGTAATCCAAACTCTAAAATTTGTTGTATTTAAAATGGAATAAATTTTTTTCTCATTTTTGTATGGTAGTTTCTCAGATAGTAGGCCTCTGTTATTTTTCTATGGTATTTGTATCAGAACTGATCAGTTAATTTGTTTTATTCTTAGAACAAGAGAAGAGGAAGAACAATGATGTAAGTAAACAGTTAAAGAGTTAAGTAAGAAAGTAATAGCTTGATGTAAAAGTTGTCTGCTGTCATTCTAATGACTATAATGGACGGATACCAATTGCATGGACTTTATTTATAGGTTTCTCATTGTAGGTTTCATCAATTTCTTCTATTTTCCTAGTTATTCTAGATTGAAGGAGGATGTATTCCTTCAAATAGTGATACTTTAAAATATATATATATTTTTAAAGTATCACTATATATATATATATTTTTTTTAAATATCACTATATATATATATATAGACTGGAACTTCTGATTAATGAGGAAAAAGTGGCTTTGCAGTGAAACAATTGAAACAAGCAAAATGATGTTTTATATACTATATGGATGTTTCTGATTATAGGCTACTGGCAATGTTAAAATGCTCTGTATTTTAAAAGGCATCAAGTAGATTATTCCCCGGCCTAATGTCTTGTGCGTTTGTGGGGGGTGCTGGTGGGAAAGTATGACAGCATGAACAAAACTATTTCCTATGACATGAGGAAGGATGGCTCATCTGAATTATTTTTAAAAAACAACAAAACCAAGCATATGAAAGTTATTGGTATTTTCTGATATTCAAAAATGCTATTGTTATTCTCAGCTATTTACAATGATTAGTTATTGGCCTTACTTTAAGGAAGAGAATTGTCAAAACATAGTTCAGGTGATATCAATATTTGATTATTGCTGAATTGTTGGGCTCTTTACAAATCAATGGGTATTTCTCAAATAAATGGGTACTTCTAAAGTGTCTTAAGGATAGTTGGTTCTCTGAAGGTTCTCAAACCTTTTCTTGTCACCTCTCCAGTACCACTGCAGATGAATTCTAAGTTGTATCTGCAGTGAGATGCACGCCCAGATGTAAATGATGTAAAGAACTTGCCACTCACACTGCCACTTTGTCCCAGGTTCTGTGCTCAGCGGCTAGAAGCAGGAGAGGAGTCAGAGTCATCCCTTCCCTGGAGAAGCTTAGTTTCTATGGGAGGGGCACCCTGTCAGCAGTTGATGCCATGTGACAAGGGGCCACTCAGCTGTGGGGGTGTGCAGGAGAGAAGTTGGGTGGTGTGGCTGCTGGTGAGGGAATCCTGGAGGTAGACGGGAGGAGGGAAGCTTGCTGGACAAGGAGGAAGAGGCCTTGTCAGCAGAGAGCACAGCCGGAGTGAGGCAGATGGAGCTGAGGTCAGATGGCCAAGAGAACAGAACTAGCATTTAGAAATGAATGGAATCTATTCTCTGGGGTTCTCACTTGAGTAGTGTAATGACAGTGTTCCTTAAACATGAAGTGAGAGTTGACTTATGGAAGTTGTTTATCTGGTTTTGCGGAAAGTGAGGCTCAGAGAGACCTGTGGTCCCAGCTTGTCAGCAAATGGGCAGCCCTGGCTCACACACACCTCTGACCAAACATGCTTGTTTGTCTCTCTGTCTCTGAACTAATATTTATGACTGGCTTTCATTTACTGCAACAAAATGCTTGTGATTTTTTATTCTTTAATGCATTGCACTTAAGTGTAATAAATGAATAAGAGAAGTAGGAAATCTTAGTATGTTTGCTCTCTTAAGAAAAACACACACACACAGAAGTCTTATTCTAAACATTTTACACTATTATAAAGGGGGTTTATAACAGGGGTTTGCCAAGTTTGCTTATAGGTACTTATGAAAGGCAGCATTTTATTAGCCATTCCTCACATCTTCTCTGTGGAAGTTAGACTCTCTATTGGGTTTAAATAGAGCTGCACATGACATCACACTCAAGCAGTTCATGGACCGTAAGAAAAATCTTACTGCTTAATTGTTTGACATTTTAACCGAGAGAAAAAGCAGACACTTTTATTGATTTAACATACATGCTTGCATTTGCTTCTCTTTCCTTCTACGTCAGGAATGGCCAGCGCACCTTGCTAAAGGATACAGGTCATGCCCCACGGTGTTTCTCCCCGACGATGCCCTCAGACAGCCGGATTTGAAAACCACCATCCAATCGTGAGTCCCGCTGGGTTGCCACAAGCTGAGTGGCAGACCCCCTTCTGCCGACAGCACCCTACTTCTCCATAGTTTCAGCCACTTTGTGGTCCTTCTCGGTGACCAGGTTAAGAAACTGGTGTCAATTATCTATTGATGTCAAGGACCTAAGTATGAAATTTCCATTTCCATGTTACCATTAGAGTGAGAGGAAGAAGGGAAAGCCAGTTAGCAAATAAGGAACCCTCCCACCCCCCAAAGTCTTGTTCTTTTCTGTTTTTAAGACATTGCTGACCATAATGAAACGGAGAGGTGTTTTGTTTTTTTTTTAAATATTTTATTGATTTTGTACAGAGAGGAAGGGAGAGAGATAGAGAGTTAGAAACATTGATGCGAGAGAGTCATCGATCGGCTGCCTGTTGCACACCCCCTACTGGGGATATGCCCGCAACCAAGGTACATGCCCTTGACCGGAATCGAACCCGGGACCTTTCAGTCCCCGAGCTGACGCTCTATCCATTGAGCCAAACCAGCCTCAGCAAGAGGTGCTTTTTATGGGGTGTTTCTATTAAAACTTATTTCTTTATGGGACATGGGCCTAAAGCAGTGCACTGCCCTTTGAAAGCTACTCTTGCAAGAAGGAGCTTGTCCCCTACTGGCACCAAAGTGTATCTGGATTAAAAGTTAATGGGATTCTGTCAGGTTTTTCCCATTGTACATTTTTTTCAGCTCTATTTCTGTATAGAAATTTACTTTCCCTTCCTACCCCCCAAAAGGGGATGTATCACATCGGTCTTAAAGAACAATGTTTCAAGCTAATTCCTTTGTGAGTGAAATGTGTTCAACTGAAGTTTTAATTTCATAGCTATATTAAATCTAATGATTCCTGTATAGCTTTAGGCAGGTTTATACTTAAGCAGCCATGAGCAGTGTTATGCTGATGAAAAGTATTTATTAATTTCCCCATAGCCTATCATTGGAGATGAACTTTAAAGACACCCTAAGCTGAAACTGGTTCAGTGGATAGAGCGTCGGCCTGCAGACTGAAGGGTCCCAGGTTCGATTCTGGTCAAGGGCATGTACCTTGGCTGCGGGCACATTTCAAGTGGGGTGTGTGCAGGAGGCAGCTGATCAGTGTTCCTCTCTCATCGATGTTTCTAACTCTCTATTCCACTCTCTTCCTCTCTGTAAAAAAATCAATAAAATATATTTTAAAAAATAAAAATAAATAAAGACATCCAAAGATGAAACTTCTAAGCTTGTTTAAGAGACAAAATACATATACTGACCAGCTTCCTGGCTCCCATGGGGGTTGTCCAAGGTACATGACCAGTGTCCCTGGAATTCGAGTGCTGCTTTTCCAGAACACGGTTTGGGAAATGCTCCCTGACAGTATTAATACATTCACCTTTAATTGTATTTTTCATCCTTAAACCCATAGTTAGTTTTAAAATGTCATTTTTATAATGTACCAACTTTTTCCAATGAAATTGTTAGCAGCTTCTAGTTTAGTTAAAAATAGCAAGTTCACAATTATAGTAATATGTCTTTTTTCCTCTCACTTATAACAGTAGTTGGGATCAAATTGTGTTTCAGAAAAACTGAGCCCCATCTCTCTCTTAAATTTCTAAGTTTTGGGACCTACTGAGTAATCACTGAATGTTTTTATTCAGCCAAGACACGAAATCTTGGAGTAAAGAATGACACCATTCAACTTTGCATACATTCTGTAGCTTCTTTCAAATTCAAAAGACTCTGATGTTACAGAATAATTAAAGGTTAGCCTTGCCCAGACAAGTAGGTTTCATGCTTCTTTCTCCAAATTAGTCTAATTCAGGAAATGCAATAAATTTTCATTTGCCATCCTTCAGTTTTGAAAATGGTCATTCCCCAGATTCGCTATTGGTGAAATAAGGGTTTGTTGAGAAAATTAACAGAGCTAGTTGACTTTTGAGAGTGATTTTGAAAAATGTTCATCATGGTACATTGTTCCCAATGGGGTGCAGTCTTACACAGCTTTTCTAAAAATGTATGTCTCTACATGCATGCATTTCACCCCCTGCCCAACACAGTCTCAATGTCACAACCTTTGATGGGCCCAGGAAAACTGTGAGGCATGATCACCTGGGCAAAAGCATCCAGTAGGTTCTGCTCTTACCCTAAGTCGTGTGTTTTCAACTCTGGAGCACATTGCAGCTCCTGGGAGCTTTATAAACCCTCATGTCTTCCCAACACCAGTGAGGGCTGTGCATCTCTTGGTGGAGGTGGGCAGTGTCTCCAGCTCCTCAGAGGATCCCAGGGAACAGCCCAGCTCAGGGGCCTCTGCCTGGTTAGAGCGGAGGAGAGAGAGGGGCTCCTAGCTGTGTGCAGGACCTGGAGCAAGTCAGTTTCAGCCTCGGTTTTCTTACCAGTAAAATAGGCTGTTGGATTAAATGTCACCTAAGGTTCAGTGGTCCTTCTCTGCTTCTGTGCTTCCAATTCTGTGACTTGAAAGTCAGTTTGAAGATGAAGCTGTTTGAAGCCCAAAAGAGGTATTCCCCTCGGATGCTCGCGGTGTTACAGGCCTTTTTACAGCAACTCATATTCCACAGACCCAGTTATGACGTCAGTGAACTTGAGCTTTTAGACACGGAAGGCAAAGGGAAGAAGCTTATCCCTTAACTACGAGGCCCCCTTTGTTGCTATGACACCACTCCTGTGAATGACTTACACATCCAGACACTTACACAGGATCTGAGAACTTGCACCTGATCTTGAAAATTTCATGTAATCTAATTAGGACATAAGTATTATTAACATTACACTGTGAAGCATTGTGCTGTGTTGTTAGCATTGCTTGTGTCAGGATAGCTAGATCTACTAATGTTGTGGGCTCTTACACTTGTCACTCAACTTCCTAATAATTATGTAAAAGTGATGTTAAACTTTTTTTTTTTGTACAGAGCATTTTATTTATTTCTAGGAAAATAATGGAAAATGGGTGGGTGGTGGATAGTGTAATAAAGCAACTGAAATGCAAGGCCTAACAACTTTTTTTAAAAGTACAATGACTACTGTATGGCTTAAATTTAAGCATGTGCCCAAATACATATAACATGTACAGGATGAAAGGTCCTATGGGTACAAGGGAAAATGATGAGGGAGTGTGTACTAACATGTACAGCATGGGGCCAAAGTAGGTGTACAATCTTGAGTACTGTATGTGAAACAGCAAAATAGCTAAAACAAGGGTCAAAGTCCCATTATATGATACTGATGAGAATGAGGATTTTAAGGCCACTGGACTGCTAGGATGGTCTTCCCGCTTCCCCCAAACCATTAACAATTGTCCTCAAACCTAACATAATAAACTCAATTGTTACAATTCTTTTTCCTTTCACAGTATGAGTTTGACCATATATTACATCATAAAGCACAGGTGAGTTTTAAAACCTGTATTGTTATTCTAGCTAATCAAAATAATAACATATCAAATTGAGTGTTAGGTAGTAGACAGTTTTGCAGCAAGCTATAGAGTGCTTTTTGTTATATTACTACAGGCCCAGTGCACAAATTTGTGCACAGATGGGGTCCAGCAGGCTGGCCCTGATCAGGGCCAATCAGGATGGGCCGGCTAGGGGCAGGGACCCTAGGCGGTTGGTGGGCCAGCCCTGCCCCCTGATCGAACTGTGGTCGAACTCCCGGTCCAGGGAACAATTTGCATATTACCTTTTATTGTATAGGATTGAAGTGAATTAATTGTTTTTGTCTTAAGACCCATAACACTTGAGTTATTGAGGATCCCAACGAGTATTTGTTTATGTAGGTTATCTTGATATTTACTGTATTAGAAATTAAAATGGAGCTTTAAAATATAAATCCACTGTATTTTTAAACAGTTTTGAATAGCATTACTGAAATTCTGAGCTAGATAATCCTTTATTATGGTGGATTGTCTTGCCCACTACAGGATATAATATGCAAGACAATATGAAAAATAACTATTTTCCATACCAAAATTTGAGTGGACATGTGTCACTAATTTACTTTTTTGCAAATATTTTTAACCTCTGTCTTTATTGAAGACACCTGATGCTCATGCATATTCTGTCTTCAGTCATTTGCCATTACTTCAATCACTTTAATCCTTTGCTTTGAAGAAGGAGTATGAAGACCCAGCCCCATGTAGTTATCTGGCTAGAAAAAGCTGCCTTTACAAAGCCTCAGATCATGTTGCTTATCCTTGTGATTATCCTTTGATATTGGCCCAAAAGTCCACAATTGCTGGCATTTTTAAATTAGTTACAATGGAAATTTAAATCATACCCATGCACTTGCAGGAGGTACTTTGTTAAGTTCAAACTAAATGGATCTTTCACTTTTTCCTTATGTTATGATAGTGTTATGAATTAGTCATTTCCACTTTCTTACCACAGTGTCCAAACCTCCCTTTCGTGAGTATCACCACCAATCTTGCCAGGAAAATCTTTTAAGTATTGAAAAGCTGCCAAGCAGACAGAGCAAGGCACACATTTTGGCCCTGGTCGAACAGCTCTGTTGGTTTGAGCTTTGTCCCAATATGTCAAAATCATGGTTTTGATCCACGGTCAGGGCACATTCAAAAAATAACCAATGAATGTGCAAAAGTAAGTGGATCAATAAATCGATGTGACTCTTCTTCTCTCTCACCCCACCCCCACCCCACCTCTAACTCTGTTTCTCTGAAACAGAAACAAAGAACAAAAAGGACAGCCCATGTTTTCCCAAATGCTGATTTTTAGCTTGAGAGCTTGATAAATAGACAATTTATTTTTCTTGAAGTGACAGGCTCACTTTTTACTTTTGAGAGAATGACAGTTGTGTTCTCAAATAAAGAGATAATTCTAAGGAAAAGCTGGCTTTTTCTGCTCATAGCTAAGGCACAAGGGCTTTTCCTTAACACAACCACATTTCAGTATGCAGAAGTGCTTCAAGCACACTCTCCCCCTAGTGAGAATGTGAAAACAGGATCAACGTTTCATACTATTCCTTTTTGTCAAGGATGTCCTTAGGTAAGGCAGAATTACTTTTCCAACTGCAAGCGGCAGTGAACAATACACTGACTGCCAGCACAGTGTGGTACCACTGCTTTCCTTCATGCTCACAAGCTAGTCTTGCTCATCTTTGCTTTTCTACAACATTGCAAAGTTAGTGTAGACTCCGGCAATGCCGAATGTTCCTATAACATTCATGTTGGCCGCAGGGGCCTCCTGAAAAATAGCCTACTTGGTCAGAGGTCGGCAAACTCATTAGTCAGCAGAGCCAAATATCAACAGTACAGTGATTGACATTTCTTCTGACAGCCAAATTTTTTAAACTTAAACTTCTTCTAATGCCACTTCTTCAAATTAGACTCGCCCAGGCCGTGGTATTTTGTGGAAGAGCCACATTCAAGGGGCCAAAGAGCCACATGTGGCTCGGGAGCCACAGTTTGCCGACCACGGGTCAAAGGGAACCTCCCCGGTGGCCTGCAGAGCTCACTGGTTCCAATGAGCGGAGTGTTTTAGTGCGGAGAACATTTCAGTGAAAAGACTGCTCACTTTTAAATAGAAAGACACCTTTTTAATTCAAACTTCTAACAGATATAAGAAAAAAATAACAATAATAATATAATACAGGAGAATGATAAGTGGAAAAACATGAATGTCACTTCCACATGAATTAAAATTCTAAAGACATCCTTGCCCAACACTAATGCTTTATCGAGTGTCCCTGGGCATTCCAATGTGAGCTGGAGGGATGGAAATGTATTTGGGTTGCCGGCATTGCCTGTCAGGGAAAGTCAGTGTTTTGTAGGCAACTCCAGCTGCTCAGTGCAGAAAACATGGCACAGAGTTTGATGCGCTGAGTAAAAAGAGGCCAGGAAACCCTCTGACAGAGCAGTTTTACAAGACACCAGTTTGTAAAACTGCTCTGTTGAAAGTTAAGCTTCCCCCTGAACCCCTCTCCCTCCTAGATGATGTGTTACTAAGATCCTCACAATCCCCGAATTAATTGTTAAATGCATATTCATGTTTTACAGAGTTCAAGATAGAACCTTGCATATTTTCGATGAGAGAAGGCACCCCTTCAGAGTAAGTGTCATTTTCATTGAGGTTCTATTTGCCTCTCATACTGTGGTGTTTATTTCATACCGATCTGCTGTGAAATGAATTATTAGGAGAAAATTACTTCCTCCGGCTTGAAGCCAAAGTGGTCTTCTTCCCCACTGCATGTGGTAGCTAATGATTTTACAAAAGGAGTCTTGTGTGAGGGACACGTCAGTAAGAACTGAGCCACAGCTTTGTATAGTCAGAGAGCTAAAGTGAGTAAATGTGCCCCCAACGTTATCTTTCTTAATGATATTTTGAGGAGCATCAAACAATACAAATGTCTGTAAATAAACCTAAAAGGTTAAGACTCTATGAAAAAACTGAGACAAGTATTTAAATTTTAAACCAATTAAAATGACAGCAATTTCCAACTTCCCTCCTCTGAGGCTCTGCAGCGACATGTAGCTGGCGCCCCCTGAGGAGCGCGGCACAGCCAGAGTCTCGGGGTCACAGGAGCGTGACCATGTGTTTTCAGAGCTGGTTGCAGAGAAGGGTGACATGGGCCTAAACGTAGTTTACATTTAGGTCGACTTCTGTGGGGAGGGAGACATACATAACTGTGTTCAGGCTGTTCCTGTATTTGTGTCCAATAGCTGATGAGTGGAGAATCAGTGTTGTTTAAGATCCACTGTTTATACTTCAAAGACTAAAAGACATGTCAGCCAATCAAAGTGATGTAGGGCCCGGTGGGCACAGTGGAAGCTGCTAGCATGCGAGTTCTTACGTATGTCCTTCAGTGGGCACTTAGACGGCCTTTTCTCTTGCAGCACGAACGGAACACACAGGCCTGCTCATTGCAGAACCCTGAACTGCACGTTGTCTACAGATTTGTCTGCGGCCTTTTCAGTGCTGAGCACCTCACCGCTGAGTGTGTGGTTGTGACCTTGGTAAGACAGCTCTTCCACAGGCTGCTTGTCTGTCCTGACACAGCCTGTGGTCCTGCTTTGCAAACCAAAGTAGGCTCCTGACATGACCCTCAGAATTTGGTTAAGAGAAGCTATTAAAGGTAGTAAACCCCACACAGTGGGGCGAAATAATCGTCGGGATTGAAAATGTTACCATTGCCGTTTCCACCACAAACAGTTTCTACTGGAGACGTGAAGGGAGATCTCCGTTTCTCCCCCAACTTCCCCCAACCTCACCCCCCGACCCACAGGAGACACAGGTGCATGCAGTGCGTGCACGCGCGCGTGCACACACACACACACACACACACACTCACACACATACACACGGTGTGCTGGTCGGGTAGGATAGACGCAGTAACAAACCATTGGCCTTGGGACAAGCTGGCTGTGTGAGGACTGAGCTGAGTCCCAGGCTGTATTCCCCGAGCAGTTCTCCTGTGCGTCCTGACTGGGAACTGGAGCCCTGGTTCTCTGTTCCTTCAGTGATGGGTGCTAACCCACTCCCCTGTCCTCCGGGGCCTGCCTGCCAGTCGCCCAGGAGGAGAGAGCCAGTAGCACCTGGGAGGCTTTGCTAGCTGCCGGCTAAGCTACAGCTGCGTAAGGACTTTTGCATCATCTGCACAGAATTCCTCTGTTAATGTTTTGTCATTGGAAATAGGTGCCATGCTAGTGAGACGTGGTGAGATGTGTTGCTCCTCCCCACAGCCAACCTGAGGGGAAAGTCCGCTGCAGGGTCAGAGGGAAAGAACACTGAGGGCAGTGCCTCCCCTTGAGCATCAGGTACTGCTCTGGAGAGGCCGCTTGTGTTTCTGAATGGAGACCTCAGCGGGCACCCAGTGAGACACAGGCCTTGTCATGGAGCTGCCCTCCCTCTGGAGAACCGAGCACCCGCAGGGGGAAGGCAGGAGCGGTGCTTTTGTGGGGAGAGCTGAGTGACACAGGAGGGAGGGCATCTAGGTTGGAAGACGGGGAGTTTTTTGTGGACACATTAAGCTTTGCTCCTGGGAGCCAGCAGAGAAGCAGTGTCTCTCAATTGTTTAAATAGAGGGAATGAGAGCGAGAATCTGAGCTAGAGGCGGGGAAGTAAGAGTGGCTGTTCACATGCAGGACAAGCACGGGAACAAAGAGTGGCGGGAGAGAGAACCATGGCAAAGAGCAGGCATCCTGTGGATCCTGCTGGGCTGAGCACGCTCTGGGCAGCACTCAGCAGCTGGACCACGCACACCTGGCCCTCCCTTGTCTGGGCTTCTCGTTGGTAGTCCTTGCGTGGTTTTCCCACCACCTAGCCACTTCCCGGGACACGTCCCTTCCGTTTGGCAAATCATCTGATAACCTTCAGACGGTAAACATATGTTTAAATGGAACTTTTGTCTTTTTGTCAAATGGCACATGCACTCTTCTGAAGCCGTGCTCTGAGGTAACAAGAAATCACAGCTGAGCCTATGGCCTCCTGGCTGCTGCCTCGCCCAGTGCTTGGGAGAGGAGACCCTGAGCGCGTGGCAAAGGCATCAGGAGCCTCCCTGGCTGCCTGGCAGGGTGAGCGGAGCCCCAGGGACAGAGCCTGGCAGCTCTGTCTCCCCCTTGAGACCAACAGCACCGAGGGCGCCTCAGCTCATGTGAGACAGAGCCGCTGGGCCCACAGGGACCCTGGGGATGTGAGCATGAGGGGCAGGAGGAGGGCTGGCCTTTGTTTGCCGTGCTCCTCCCAGAGGCATTAAGACAGGAACGCGGGCAGATGCACAGACCAGCCTGCAGCTCACCTGTGTGTACTGCCTGTCCTGCTGCCCCACAGCAGCCTCTGGGAGGCGACCTGGGCACCAGATTTTATCTCCAGCTCGTCCCACAAAAGGGCTAGTTACTGTGAAAAGATAGCAATGTGTCCGGCTTTCCCAGGGATTTAGATATTCCAGAGTTATGAAAGTAAGATCACCGCAGAAATACGAGCCAGGTAGGACGCACGGCACCTGTAGGCACTCAAGTGTTTGTCGAACAACTTGGATCAATCCTGGCTCTCTATCTGCCCCTTCACAAGAGGGAAGGTAATAACAGCCCTATGCATTGCTTAGGACGTCCTGTGCTAACATGTCATTCATTCCTGAACGTTCCCATGGACAAAGTGGGCAACAGAAGTGTCGGGTTTACAACTATGACTTGGCCTCTGGCTTTGGCTGGCCAAGCAGAGTCAGTAGAACTAAGGATAGAAGGAATTTCACCCTTGCCAGGCCGCTCAGTGGATAGAACAGTGGCCCATGCACCAAAGGATCATGGGTTTCATTCCTGGTCTAGGGCCCCCACCTGGGTTGCAGATTCGATTCCCTCCCCAATCAGGCAAGTGTGGGAGGCAACTTAACGATGTGTCTCTGTCATATAGATGTTTTTCTCTCTGCCTGTCTCTCTTTCCCCACCTCCCGTGAAGATAAACAAAGAGGGGGGGGAAAGGAATTTCAAAAATGGATCAAATATGTCATTTCTAACACTTCTTTTTTCTATGTTTTTTAAATATTATAATTTTATTTTATTTTTAAATCCTCACACGAGGATATTTTTTTCCATTGATTTTTTTTTTTTTTTTTTTTTTTTTTTTTTTTTTTTTTAGGGAGAGTGGAAGGGAGAGAGAGAGACAGAGAGAAACACTGTTGTGAGAGAGACACATCCATTAGTTGCCTCCCACATGCCCCTGACCAAGGCCAGTAGTAAGCAACCATGCCCTTGACCAGAATCGAACCCAGGACCCTTGAATCCACAGGCCGATGCTCTATCCACTGAGCCAAACCAGGGCTTCTAACACTTCTTATCAAGCATTTACACTGACAGAAAGTGAAAGACCGGTGCCCTACTTTTGCAGATTTTTGTGGAAAGGCTCTTGGACTATAGAAATATGGACTTGTGTCCCACCAATTGGAGGAGAATACTTGTGGGATCCGCTCTTCTTGCATATGAGTACTGGAACAAACAGGCTGTGTGGAGCATGGACTACTGCCAGGTCATCAATAACATCATTACAGCCGAGGACATGTGCGTTTGTAATGTTTGGGTAAACCTCCTAACCCTTTTCCCATACCCCATGTGCCCCCATAAAGTTTACATGTCAAGAAATATTTTTAAAGGTTACATAGTGCAGAGAACTGAAATGGGCATAAAACTACATTTTTCTTTCTATCCAGCTTTTGCACACCAATTCACATTCCTGGTCATTAATTAGTTGGTCTTGATGTATTGTTGCAAAACGTGCATAGTAATTTGAAATGTGTTTCTCTGGTGTTTTTTTTTTACAAACATTTTACAAGCTAGCTACCAGAACAACAGTTCAATAACTATCTTTGTGGCTTTCTTTCTTTCTTTTTTTCTTGATTTCAGAGAAAGGAAGGAAGAGAGATAGAGAGCTAGAAACATCGATGAGAGAGAAACATCGATCAGCTGCCTCCTGCACTTCCCCCAGTGGGGATGTGCCCACAAGCAATGTACATCATGCCTTTGACTGGAATCGAACCTGGGACCTTTTGGTCTGCAGGCCAACCCTCTCTCCACTGATCAAACCAGTTTCGGCTCTTCATGGTTTTCTTAAAGCCATCTTCCAGTTCCAGTCTATTATTTTAAGGGACAGACACTGGCTTTGAAATAAATGTTTGACGCGAAATCTTAGGGCCTCTAGCCTATTGAGGGTCACAGCTTAAAGCTGACCCACACATTGTATCCTGTGTCTGACCCACACACTTCACTGGTCTTTCCCTCCTTTTCACCTGAAGTTCCCTTGTTCAGAAAACCATGGAAGAAAACGGGGCCCCTATGAAGGTTTCAGACCTCTGTGCGCTCTCCTGCCCTTTTAAGAGAATTGCACGTGTTTACAAATAGGTCCGATGACTTTGGCAGCTCCTCCCTCCTCTCAGACAGCAGAGAATCCTCACTGGGCATCGCCCAGGCCCCACCCCATGGGAGAGTTTCCCGGGCTCTGAGCAGCCACAGCAGTGCCTTGTGGGGGTCGTAGGCTAACCATGCGGGGCCCCTTCGAGATGGCATGAAAGGGAAACACCAGCATCACGGAGGGCTTTCGGTCTGGCCACACGGGCTGCTGTGGGGGCTCTGGGGGTGGACGGCGGGATGAGCCACAGAGGGAGCTCAGCAGACTCTCAGAGCGCCCACCTGCTGACAGGGAGGGTGTCTTTGTGGGCGGCCCTTAGGGTCAGGTGAAGGCACACCTCTTCACTCTGTGGAAGAGCTCAGGAAGGTCAAGATCCTCAGGGGCAGAGGCAGGAGTCTGGTTTTGGAGCCTTTGCTCAGGACTCTGGGTGATGCTCCTGCAGAACCACCCACGTGCACATGGACAGCTGTGGGGAGGCCACAGGCCCCTCAGGGAAGGGATGGAGACGGCCAGCAGCTGGCAGAGTGGCTTTTGGTGAAAATGACCCCTTTGATAACGGTGCCAACTGAGGAGTCATGGTGACCTTGCTGGCAGCAACTTGGCAGCCATTTTGACAGCAAATGATGACTGACATAAATGGGAGCACTGTAGGAAGATGCAGAAGCTCAAGTGACTTTGGTCAGCACTGTCGTCAGCCTTCAAAGCCGGCCCTTGGAGGCAGGAAATTTTATATTCGTGCCCCCGATGACGGCAGCTGAACTTTTCTCCACACCCGCAGCTCCGCTGCCTGGGCTGTGGTTAGAGGGACAGAGTCAGGGAACCGCAGGGCGAAGTGTGGGTTCTCACTCCTGGGAGCTCCCGGGCAGCGGGGTCGGGGCCAGGATGGCTAGTTGTAAACAGTGCTTTCTGTGCATGAACAGAGGCACGCAGGAGCTCTGGGAACAACAGGCTGCTTTTGTTTATGGCCTTTGCAGGGTGGAAGGCATTACACCCGTGTTTAGTGTACATTGGTTTCATCTCCCTGTTGTTGGCTACCATTTGGAATGGTCACATTTTGCATCTAAATTGAAAATTCATGTCTATCAGCTTTTCTTAAAACTTCCCAACACCTATGTGTGATGCATAAATAAAACAGAGCAGCTGATATTCAGAAAATTTCACTGTAAATAGTAGGCTGTTCAACTTACCATTAAGAAAATAATAAAAAATAGCCCTAGCCGATTTGGCTCAGTGGATAGAGCCTGTGAACTGAAAGATCCCAGGTTTGATTCCAGTCAAGGGCACATACCTGGGTTATGGGTTCGATCCCCAGTGGGAGACTTGCAGGAGACAGCCGATCTATGATTCTCTCTCATCATGGATGTTTCTATCTCTCTCTGCCTCTTCCTTCCTCTCTGAAATCAATAAAAACATATTTTAAAAATAAAATAAATAAACAAACAGAAGATGCATATTCTGTAGTCATACTTTTCTTCCATGATTAAGCAACTATTAATAGACCTCTCTTAATCCTATGAAGGGGCTGTATTCGTACACAATTAAAAGATAGTAATGGAGAAAATATAGAAGGGGTGGTAAATTTTATTTATTCCTGTAGGAAATAAATCCTGATTAGGTGATTATCAAAACATGATCTGATTTATGTGTCTATAGACTTGAGGCCATAAGAATAGGAAAATAATTTTGGAAATAGGTTCTTTGGGGTTTAAATTTCAACAAATAAGAAAATTTCTGCTGAAATCAGTTTGGCTCATTAGATAGAGCGTCGGCCTGTGGACTGAAAGGTCCCAGGTTCGATTTCGGTCAAGGGCATGTACCTTGGTTGCGGGCACATCCACAGTAGGGGGTGTGCAAGAGACAGCTGGTCAATGATTCTCTCTCATCGATGTTTCTAACTATCCCTCTCTCTTCCTCTCTGTAAAAAATCAATGAAATACATTTTTTTTTTAAATTCTATCAGTTCCTATTCTGACTGCTCTCCATACAGGAGAAATCCACTTTCATCAGCCTGTCCAGTGGGTAAACCAAGAAAACTGGTTTGTTAGAATTTAAGCCTCTCTCAGGATTGTTCTGCTGTTTGTCATTTTTATGGAATTAACTCTATCACAGGAGTGCTGTGCAAGGAGAACAATTTACTCTGATGTTATATTTATTTACTCGGCAAGTGACAGGAGTCCATCACATCGCAAAGCACTGCTCCCAGATTTCCTTTCGCACTTTATTGAGCTCACCCTGTGGGCAGGCTCCCCCTCTGCTCGGGCAGGGGTGGGGGTGCTGAGCAGGGCAGGAGGCAGCCCCACGTGGGAGAACACGGTCGGAGTCTGACTCCATGCTCGACAGAGGTCAGGTCCTTAAGGGGCTAGTCCAGCCAGGTCATCTGTCCTCCGTGTTTCTGTCTCCAGAGTTTAAAAAGTGCAGCCGGTCCTGGCATGGGGACGATTTCTCACCCAGTGGGAGTGAGGTGAACAGAAACTTCCTTTTTGTCTTTTGCTGTTCGTCCCATGTACTGGGTAGGGGAGGGGTCCCCTTTCCCATAATACGTGGCTGATTTATTTATTTGGTTTCTTTGTTTATTTATTTATGTATTTATTTATACTTGAAGAATCCTTGTTGGCTCCAGAGTGCTGCCCCCTCAGATAGCAGTGGTGGCTTCCCATGGATCCATTGTTGCCTGGTGATGTGCCCGCTTCATTGGCTGGTACTTCTATGCTTCCACAAGCCCTTCCTGTGATGGGCCTGGGGAAATGCCTGCAGGTTTGTTAGGGCCAAGAAACAGCACACACCAGTCCTTTCCTCTGAACACAACAGCGGGCCCTGGTCCGTGAGCCAGGAGCATGAATCCACAGCTGCACTCCAGGGACTCTGAGCCCCCCAGTCAGCAGTGCGAGAGCAAAAGGGGGAGGGGCAGTCACCTCTTCACACTTCTCCCAACTGCAAGTGCTGGGATGGAGGGAGGACCTCAAAGAGCTGCACCTTGCTTGATGATTAGAGTCTTAGGACAGCTGAGTAACCTGGACTTGTTTCAAACAAAATTCAGAGTCGTCCTCGTAGCTCAGAATGATATCTTTGAAGATAGTGCGGTTGACTAAAGTTGTTCTGTGTTGGTTTTGTCTCCTCCTCTCCCCCTAGGAATGAGATAGAAATGCATTTTTTACATTCCATTCGGTTTGATATTAAAATTACTAGCTATACGTATGCCAGATATTACTTTGACCTTCTAGACATGGCCGAAGCAAACAACGTGGTCGATCTATTTGAACCTTTTTTGCAAAGCAGAACACTGAACCCAGAGGTAAGGCTGTGGGATCACTAAGTGGGGTTTCCTGTCTGTCACCTAAGCCAATATCTGTTGATAAATTCTATGAAACGATGATTAGGGAAATGGAAAGCTTTAAAAAATTAACACATTAAATAAGAGCTTATTAACTCTTTCACATCATTTTTTTTTTTTTATCATTGTTATTGCAACTCCTCCTTTACTATGATGCCATTCTCAGAATGTCCACAAGAGAGCATTAGTGCAACTTCTTCCTTACTAGGGTGCTGTACTCAGAATTATGGTGCCATTCTCTGAATGTCCACAAGAGGGCACGATTGCCTCTAATCCCTTACTAGGGTGCTGTTGTCAGAATGTCCAAAAGAGTCACCATTGCAACCCCTCCCTGCAGAGCAAGAGCCCTCTAGGTCTCTCAGTAGGTTTTTTTGTTTGTTTGTTTTTTGTTTTTAAGGAAAAAAAAAATTCGCAACTGAAATGGATACATTTAAAATGGACGCTTTCTGTGGTACCTTCACGGCACATTAGAATAAAATGTTTTCTACAATAATTAACATACAAGTGAAATAGTTCCTTATGATGCTTCAGTCGTTAGACCTTCCCTACCTTCCAATAAAGTACAGCACATGCCTGTCTCATTAAAATTTGCTTAGAGTATGTAATAACTAATGAAGATTGGATACAATTTGAATAGCTCACAAAACACTGATGTTGCCCAAGTGTATGTTTAGTATGTTTAGGGAACAGATGTACAGGCAACAAATAATATTGCTCCTTGACATCATTGAGAACCCAGAATTTAAGTAATTCTAAATTCCCTTGCTCTGGCAATCTAATTGTATCCCTTACGGGGCTTCCTAAGTGAATTTGCAGAAAGAGGCATCCACAGAGCCCGGCAGTGTAGACCTCAGCTACCCAAAGGGCAGGAACTATACTGTATGTAAAGGAGTGTGAGTGGGTGGCTATCAATGATGCTTTTATTAAAGGTTGGAACCCTTTTTTAAATTGTATTTGGTTTCCTTTCCTAGGCTATTTCCAGATGCTATCAAGAAAAAGACCTGGGCAGAGCTGCTATAAAAAGATCTCTTAGCGCCGACAATCTCTTAGCGCAGGCAACGCACCAAATCCATGCTCTCTGAAGAAAATGAGGGCTTATAACATCATGAGACCCTCATCTACAAAAACTACAGAAATACCACCTCTCCTTCTAAAAAGCAGTGGTAACAAGCAGTTAAAGAAACAAAGGGGCACCCTGTTTCTTTAACTGCTTGTTACCAGTGGTTAGGGCATCAGCCCACTCACCTGGGTTGGATTCCCAGCTAAGGATGTGTAACTGGGTTGCAGATTTGATCCCTGGACCCAGTTGGGGCCCGTAGAGGGGACAACTCGTTGATGTCTCTCTTACATTGATGTTTCTCTCTGTCCTTCCTCCCCTCCTCCCCCCCATCTTCTCCTGTCCCTTCCTCTCCTCATCCCTCCCTTCCACTCTTTCTAGAAATTAATGAAAAAAACACCCTAGTATGAGGATTAAAGGAAAAAAAAAAAAGACAGGTATAAACAAGAGGTTTCTCTCAAATCTTAGGGCAATTTAAACTTTGATATTGTGTGCTTTGGCATCCAAGGCAACCCTGCAGAAGTATAAATGCTAAAAATTTATAAAACAAAATTTAAAATTTAATTAGAAAACTTTGCCAGAGAGATCCAAGATGGCTGTTAGGGAAATGTGGGTAATCGCCGCCTCCCACAACTACATCAAAATTACAGCCATCATTCAGAACTGCCTAAAACTTAGCTGAATGGCAGTCGTACATCTAGAGAAGTAAAGAATATTGAGACTGGTGGGAGGAGCGAAGGCATGGAACTGGATTGAGCTGACACCCATCAAAAGAGCAAAAAGAAAACAGATTCCAAACATATGAAGACAGTGTAAGGAGCCCCTGGGACAACATTCATATCATGCAGTGGCCGGAGGAGGAGAGAGAGAACAAGTTACTGAAAATCTGTTTGAAGAAATAATGACGGAAAACTTCCCCTGCCTGGTGAAAGAAATAGACTTACAAGTCCAGGAAGCACGGAGAGTCCCAAATAAGAGGAACTCAAAGAGGCCCACAGCAAGACACATCATAATTAAAATGCCAAGGATTAAAGACAAAGAGAATCTTAAGAGCAGCAAGAGAAAAGCAGTTATCTACAAGGGAGCACCCGTATGACTGGCAGCTGATTTCTCAACAGAAACTTTGCCAGAAGGAGTTGCAAGAAATATTCAAAGTGATGAATAACAAGGACTTACAATTGAGATTACTACGCTACCCAGAAAAGCTCTCATTTGGATTTAAAGGTCAGATAAAGAGCTTCACAGACAAGAAAAAGCTAATGGAGTTCATCACCACCAAAGCAGTATTACATAAAATGTTTAAGGGCATTCTTTAAGAAGAGGAGGAGGGGGCGGGAGTAGAAGGAGGAAGAGGGAGAAGGGGAAGAAGATATCAAAAATATGTACAATAAAGTGGCAATAGATACATATCTACCAACAGCTGGATCTAAAAATCAGGGACGCCTGCCTTATGGGGCCCTCCTCACCGAGCGTCTTCTCCAGGCCAGTGGCCACTCCTGCTCCTGAGGTCTCTGGCATTGGTGCCGTGTTCTCCACATCAGTAGGAGAAATAGGAAGTGTGGAGGGTTGGGTACCAGTAGGCATAACCTGGGGACAATACATTGGTAGGTTCTGATTTTTATCTACATCACTGAGATGAGGTTTCCTCAATTATATGACACCTAAACCGAATAATGGTAGGAATTATTTTTCAAAAACCAATGTTGTTTCAAACTGTGTAGGACATAACCAAGACTTTGTAAGCTCTTTTTGTCATTTGTCACAGCATTGGCTTTATGAGAGTTTCTAAGGAAAGAGTGAGGAGTGATTGCTCATTTTACAGTAGAAGCTGCCCAGTACTACAGGCCCTCGGGTGTCCGCTGGGCACGCCTGGAGTATCCAGGGTGGCACTGATCTGAGACCTTTCTTTATGCACGTTTTCCCTTTTCATCAAGAATCTTTATTCAGTGATTCTTTCTCAAGTTTCCTTCTCTTTCCCAACATTTGGGTCTAACCCTCTTTTCCCATTTCCTTCATGTCTTACCTCCACCACTATTGAATTTCCCACATGTATTGCCATCCTTTTGTTTCTATAAGTGCTGACTCCGATTAATATAGCTTGTAGAGTAACAGCATGCTTGTGTAAGATTCCTAGGACCTGGTTGATGTTGGTGAGTGATTAGAACATCCACTCTTGAACCAAAGGGTCACGGGTTCGTTTCCAGTCAAGGACATGTAACAAGGTTGCAGATTTGAACCCTGTCCCAGTTGGGATGAGTGCCAGAGGCAATAAATGTGTCCCTCTAATCTTGATTTTTTTCTCTCGAGTTCCTTTGTGCTCTCTATAAAAATTAATGAAAAATATATTCGTGGGTGAGGATGAAAAAAAAATCCTATGAATTAACTTCGGAAGTTACAGACTCCAAACTTCAATCATCCCAGTTCCGGGAGTTTTGCTGACCCTCAACTGCAGAACCAGGAGGACCGAGACCAGGAGGACCAGGACCAGGAGGACCGAGACCAAGAGAACCAAGACCAGGAGCACTGAGACCAGGAGGACCCAGACCAGGAGGACCCAGACCAGGAGGACAGAGACCAGGAGGACCCAGACCAGGAGGACCCAGACCAGGAGGACAGAGACCAGGAGGACCCAGACCAGGAGGACCCAGACCAGGAGGATGAAGACCAGGAGCACAGAGACCAGGAGGACCCAGACCAGGAGGACCCAGACCAGGAGGATAGAGACCAGGAGGACTAAGATCAGGAGGACCCAGACCAGGAGGACCCAGACCAGGAGGACCGAGACCAGGAGGGCCGAGACCAGGATGATTGAGACCAGGGGGACTGAGACCAGGAGGATCAAGACCAGGAGGACCCAGAACAGGAGGACCAAGACCAATAGGACAAGGACCAGGGGGACTGAGACCAGGAGGAGGGAGACCAGGAGGACCGAGACCAGGAGGACTGAGACCAGGAGGACTGAGACCAGGAGGATCAAGACCAGGAGGACCCAGAACAGGAGGACCAAGACCAATAGGACAAGGACCAGGAGGATTGAGACCAGGAGGACCCAGACCATAAGGACCCAGACCAGGAAGACGCACACAAGGCCATCACTTGACCAGTTTCAAGATGTATCAGAATGGACTGGGCAGGGCTGGATGCAGAGAACTGTTCAGTCCCCTCCCCTTGATATCTTTGTTTGATTTCCCTCTCCTTCCTCACAAAAAGCCCAGCTGCACTGAGATGTTGGGACGGACTTTGTGACAAGAGCCTCCCCATCTTCCTATTTGGCAAGCACTGGAATAAACCACCTTCGTTTTTTATCATGTCTCATGAGTTTGGCTTTCCTGGCCCCAGGCTCCTGAACTTGGGCTATGGTTAAAACTGGTAAATAGATAATATGGTGAGCCAGCCAGGATACGTGGACTTTGGTAAGTCCCAGTGGGCCCAGCCTGGGTTCCCAGAGGGTGTGGCAGGCTGACTCCATGGCAGGGATGGCAGGAACTTCCTAGTGGCTGCCAAGAGCTCTTCAACTCAAGGGCGTCCTGCTCTCCCTCTCAAGGCATCAGCCACCTGAAATGCTTCGCTGGTGAAAGGGAACGGGTGTCTGGGAGTCAATGGACTCCAAAGCTAGTCTGTTTTAATGACAATTAAAACATAATTTTCAGAAACAGGTTTTTTTCATTGACAGATACGCTCACCTATTTAAAGAGGCATAACAGAGATAACGTGACCTTGACAACTTCTAGGAAGCTGGGAAACAGCAGGGAGGTATCAGGCCTGCAGCTGCATTTAAAAGTCCCATTTTATTCCCTTCCCAAGCAGGGGGTAGGGCAGGCAGTCGCTCCAGCTGCACACACAGCCTGTGCATGCAGACATTACCAGGAGCCACTGCCCCGCCCTCTGGGGTTCTCTGAATCCTTTTGGATCCCTGGGAACCAATAGGCACTGCATGGTGGCAGGCACGGCTCAGGGACTAAGAAAAACCCCAGTTCCCAGGTGTGGGATTTGGTCGGAGCCCTCTTTTGGTTTTGGCATTTGAATTTTGGTGTATTGTTTGCTTTTGCTGTTGCCTACCTCTTGTGGGGTGTCTTACTGATTGTGTTCTTCATTTGAAATAGTATCACCTGAAGAAACTTGCAGAGGAGCCATACTGCTACAGAGCTGCTTGTTCCTTCCTGTTTGTCTAGTTGTCATTTTGAGTGTAAACCGTGGCTGTTAAGCATGGGGAGTCCGAGGAGAGACCCAGACTGAATGGCAGCCTCTTGGGTCACATTCTGGCCATGAGTGGTCCACCTGTGGTTATGAGCCTATGGCCAAGAAAAATATGATTTTTTCATTGTAACACAGCTTCACCCATTTATATTTTGGGGTTTGAAGAGTGATGACCCCTAAATAGTTCTTCAAACTACTCTACTTTGTTGCAATTGAAGTTGCTTTGCCAAAGGCCAGGTCAATGTGATATGGTCTGTTGCATGCAAGCTTCCATGTTGTCACATCATAAGAATTCTGCTCAAAAAGATGGAGATTAGTGGTTCAAAAAGGAGGGAAAGTACTTACTTCCATCCCAGACAGTAAAACACACAAGGAAGATCCTTTTGTAGTTCATAAGCATGATGATTGGGTGTTCACACCACTGTGTGAGATGTGCCGGCCACGAACCTTGTTACGCCATTGGCACATGACCCGTCTGACGTGAACTTGAAGGATCCTCTTAATCTGGTGTTGTCTTCACCAGATTTTAGTGTCGTTTGTCTGTGTCCGGATGTCACCCAAAGAAATCCTTAGTAAGAGCAGTGATTTCCTGGTTGCAGTTGTTGACTGGTCTGGTCCTGTAGGGGACGCCCTCGCCGCAGGTGGGCGCCAGGTGCTCCCAGGCTGCGGGGCCAGGTGTGGGCGACAGGTGGCGCAGGTTGTGAATTTGCTAGCAGCTGTGCCTGCTGCTAGTCCTAAACCGGTTTTGAATGGGAAAGGGAGCCACAACCCTGAGCAACCCTTTCAGTCCCAGCGGGTCTCACACTGCGTCCGCGGGGCTTCTTAAACAAACAAACAAACAAACAAACAAAAACAAAACAAAACAAAACAAACAAAAAAAACTCACAAGGAAAGAAGTCTTTTAAACACTGTAAATCTTCCTCCTTGGA